AGGTACGCCATCAACGCGCGGTACGTCGGCATATCTTTATATCCCTCGAGCAAGATATCGTCTGGACCCATCGTCTCGGCCATCTTTTGCGCAATCTCGCTGTCCTGCCAGCTGTTGAAGTCGTAGGGCCGCTCCTCCATCTTCTTGGTTTCCGTGTTCATGTAGCGCTGGAAGCAATTGGGCACAATGACGGGCTTGTCGTGCGCCGCCAGATCCTGGATCAGTGACGGCGGCGTCTCGACAATGTCGGCGTCAAGCCACAGCACCCACGACGTCTGCGGTCCCAGAGTCGTGAACAGGAGCGAATTGCGGGCTTTGGACATGACGGCACGCCTACCCTTTTGGTTCTCCATCTTGTGTCGCTCGCCCTCGTCCTGGGATGCGATGGCCGGCTCAAAGTCCTGGCGCATGATGACGATGCTCTTGAAGCGGTTCTTCTCGGAGCCCTGGGTCTTTGTGATCTGCTCCTGCAGCTCCGCCGTCGCGGCGTTTCCTTCCTTGGTTTTGGGCAGGATGAAGCCGAGGGAAATGAGGTCGTGGGGATAGTTGAGGTTCAAGAGGTTATCCCAGTATTCCTGGTAGAAGCGCGCCATTGGCGTCAGGATGAGAACGGATTCGCGGTTGCCGATGGGGTCGGTCGTGATGGTGACATTGTTGAGGTTGTAGCGGACGACGGGCGGCGGTCTCGTGTCACCCTTGGCCTTCTTTCGGTAGGGAGCTGTGGGCGGCGATAGATGGTGGGAAGCGGTACCGGCCGGCTCTGCTTTTGTTGTCTTGGAGGGTCCGACGAGGAAGACGACGATGAAGATGCAGAGGACGGCGCCGAGGACGAGGGTCACCGGGTTCGCCTTCTTCAAGCGAACTGACCCCATGGGACGAGCCATGGAGGGTAGTCTGACGAGTAGGGAGACTATGCGAGAATCATAAAGGTTGTCGAGGGATCAGAGGTGGTCGCTCGATGGATGTCGGCTTAGCTTGGCTTTCGCGAAGCTGCAAGCGAGCTTTAGTTATCGCGAGTTTTGGGAAATTTAGTCCCAAGAAGAACTGTCGGTTTTCGTTCCTTTACTGAAGAAAATTGGGATGGCCATGCAACAAATTTAAAAAGATGACACTGGACGCTCCCTTCTCGTGTGTCTCTCGCCGAGGGAGTGGAAGCAAATTGGCCAGATACGAGGTTCCTACTTCTGGCAGGCTGGTCTACTCAAGGGAGGCGCATTGGGAGGACAGCTCTACAGTAAAGTTACACTTCATACGACAAAAGGGGCTTAGCTTCATCTCCCTCGAGGACTAACTCCGGGCCGAGAGATCCTCCTGCCTCACGTCAGGGGATGCAGGGCGCTGACGGCACAGGAGATACAGGCGAGACAAGCGAGACAGCACCCGTAAAGTTCACAATTAGTAGCGCTGTGTCCACTGACTGAGCGAAGGGTGGAGAATGGAATGGGGAATTGGAGCCACTGGGAGTCTGGGTCAGATGGATTACTGGGACCCCTTAGACCTGTAGTGTACGTAGTAGTGTACATAGTGGGGAGCCCACCGGGCGTCAAACATGGGGAGCTATTCTCAGATTTCCTGTTCTGCATCTCGAAGCCAATTGAGGCTAACTCAATCAAGAAAAGGTTCCACCCGAGTCGTGGGGCTTCAGCCACATATCCACTTTCGTCCCTCCCGTATCGAGCGCCACACTTTTGGCGGTCGGATGCTCCAGTCGATCCGCAGTCAGCCGTGCTTTGCCTTTACCAGCTGTGCCTACTCGGGCACTTGAGTCGCGATCAGCATTGTTGTCCCTTTACACCCTGCAACAAAGCTTACCTCCTAGAATACCGCGGCGAGGCTTTGACCGCCCAATTCAACATCTTGAGCCGCATCAATTTTTTTCTGAACATACTTTCACCCAACAAATCAACATGGCGGACAAGCTGGACCGCAGTCTCGACGAGATTCTCGGCGAGAAGGTAAGGGAACCCGCAGCCTTGTAAGATATGCGATCTCGGAGCTAACTTGCACAATTGCAGAAGAGTGACGGTCCTCGCAACAACCGTGGAAACGGTAGAGGCGGCCCCCGAAGACGCGAACGTGAACGCCAGGAATACCCCCGCGACGGCGTTAGAAAGGTACGGTACTACACTACAACACAACCCGTCACCTGGTAGATCTCCAGGCTGATTGTCCAGGTTGAATGACCCTCCTCCCTCCTCATCCCGGTCGACCACGACTATTGCGCAGCTTTCGGTTCCATGCCGACCGTCTCGTAGAAGGCCGGGAGCGGTACCTGTTGATTACAAGGGCCTAGCTAACAGGTGTCGCTGTCCTGCGATACAGTCCTTCCGCGACGAGTCTAGAAACCTCGATAGGTGAGTCTAACCAGGCCCGTATCCCCACTCGAACATTTCACTAACCTCTGTGAATAGTGAATGGGTTCACGATCGATTCGAAGAGCACGGTACAACTGAAGTTTCCATACCATACCTACAGCATGAGCTAAAACGGAGCAGACAACCGCCGTGCGCCGGCCCCTCGACGGAGACGCGATGAGCCTGAACAAAGGTAGGCCCAGTGCAATACTTGGTACAAACATACGCTGACTTGATGCCACAGAGATTCCAGCAGCTCCAAAATCCGCGTCGAGAACATCCACTACGAGCTGACTCCTGAGGATTTGGAAGTACGGCCCCCCCTGGAGGTGTCGAACAACATGGCCTTGGCTAAAGTTTGTGCAGGAATTGTTTAACAGAATCGGCCCCGTCGCGAAATTGGACCTCAAGTATGATCGCGCTGGTCGCTCGGAAGGCATTGCCTTCGTGACGATGGAGTCCCGCGAGGATGCCTTGGATGCGATCAAGCAGTTCGACGGCGCTAATGCAAACGGTATGCGCCTCTCTTCCTCTCTACGTTAGTGGCAGCTTAAAGACTAATTTCTCAGGCCAACCGATCAAGTTGTCAATCATGGGTGGCGGAGCTGGCGGTCGATCTCGCAACCCCTTCGACTCGGCGGTGATGCCGGGCCGTCCACTTTCCGAGCGAATCTCTGCTCCCGGCGGTCGGTCGAGATCCATGTCTCCTGGACGGAAATATGATGTCGACGAGGCTGCCGAGAGAGGCATTGACAGATACGTCCCAGGAAACCGTGGAAACCGTTCGCGAAGCCCTATGCCCCGGCGACGCGGGAACGGTGGCGGTGGCGGTGGCCGCAGACCCGGAGCTCGCAGAGAGGGTGGTAGAGATGGTGGCAGAGACGGTGGAAGAGATGGCGGCAGAGACGGTGGAAGAGATGGCGGCAGAGATCAAGAAGGCGGAAGAGGTGGTCGCTCGGGTAGAGACGGCCGTACTCGGAAGACCCAGGAGGAATTGGATGCCGAGATGGCGGACTACTTTGGTGGAGGAAACTCTGGAGAGACCGCGCCTCAGCCGAACGGTGGCGCTGCCGCTGCCGCGGTGCCCGCCACGAACGACGATATCGACATGATCGAGTAAGCCCTGCTCCAGCTCAGTCTGGCCTTGGTTTATGCCGCACGGAATGTCTCGGACCAGGTACCAGAACAAGTTGCGAGAGAGGAGAAGCCTGGATGAGACACGTGGATAGCCAGTTGTCAAAAGACCCCCATTGTGCGCCTACACCAATAGCATCGTGGACCCTTAACTATAAAAGTCAACAATAACACCATTTACTTGTTGGAGAAGTTGGTCAGAATCCGGATTGCAGTCCGCGCATGGTCGAAAATCAGGGACTGGAGAGAATCAGGGCACCAATCAAGGATTTTGGAGTCTTGGACCCTTTTCTTCGGCATTGCCTCCGTGGCTTCTATGCCCACTTGGCCGTCCAGTGTGGTCCACCGAGGAATTCCTGAAATATTCCTGCCGATGTTACTCGGTAGGTTTGCAGATCCCCGTTTTCGCCGCTTTGGGCCCCCCTGGAAGTAACTGAACAAGGACGAATTGTCGATGCGGCTGTATGTTCCCAGGCGTGCCGCATGCCGCGTGCCAGGGTTAGGGCCAGGTTGTCCACCTAGTGTACGAAGTAGGCGTGCTGGGCTCACCTACCGGCATGCGGCGAAAGGGCATGTCTCGGTATAGATGAGACTGGGTTGTCTGTAAAATGCAGTGCCCGTAAATCGAAGTCGTCAAAACAAGGGACATGCCTATCTGGGGAGGTCCACGAGTGAGCCGCCGCGGCGCCGCCCCCTTAAAAAAATCAAGTTTGCGATCGCCGGGGACCCTCCATGCATGTGAGAGTGCGACATGCAACTTGGCAACGGTCCTCCAAAAACCAAGAAAAATCGCCAGTGTCGCCCCAGGTCCCCCGCCAAAGTGCACGTCCCGACCTGCAACGTCAGGGTGCATGCACCTCGCCCGCGCCCGCGTTTGCACGTCGCAGGAAGCTCTGGCACCCGACTGCCCACTCCTACTCCCCGGCCCCCAGTCTGCGCCTCTCATCCTCCCATCTCTCCCCCAAGTTTCCCACCTCAACCAGTCCAGGTCTCTCCCGGCGCTACCTTGCCTTCCTCTTCCCACCGTCACCTCAAACCTTGGAAATCGTTGCAACCGGAATGGAGTGTCGACGGTGAACGGTGAACACGGACACGACCACACTTTATTCCAACGGGGACACCGATTACTACCATCGACCAGGCGACCCCAAACGGACCGACGATAGGGCAAGCCGCAAACGCAACAATATGACGGCTATTAGTGGTATTTCAGACTTATATCACCTCTCCCGAGCCCGAAGGCCAGTTGTGCGCCCTTCGCTGTACGACTGAATCGTGGGAACGACGATCAACACATAAAAGAGACAATCCACCTGCAGACCGCGACACGAGGGTTTGTTTCAACCCTCGAAGCTCTAACATCTTAACTTTTGAGATCAGCGGAACATACGCAACACACCATCGTACTGTTCAGCGCATCCTGGGTCATTTCAACCAACTCTTAACCAGCCCATACTCCGTCGTCACCTATCAACCAGGTCTACTGGGCAGACTTTTCATCACTTACACGGGATGGAATCAGCCCAGTACACGGAGGGCCCATCGCCATCTTCACACAACAACTCCAGACTTACACCGCACAACCCTCAACAACAATCACGCCCTCGGCCCAAGTCTCAACCACCCAAGCAACGAAGGAGACCGTCGCGGCCACAGGGGTCAGAATCAAATAGGAGACCTGCGTCAGACGGTTCTGACCGTGACAGGGAGACTGAAGACGCCGAGGAGGGTGCTCCCAATTCAAAGCCCAGCCACTCAGGCTCGGAGCAGTCTGCATCAAGGCCTGCTAGGAGACGCCCAGCTGCCCCTCGGCCTGCGCCAGCACCATCGACAGCGATGCCTTCGGAAGATGAGCAACTCGTCGACCCGGTACCGCTCCGGCCAGGCCATTCGAACCGACGGGCCGCGCCTAGGAGAGTACCGCGCCTCGGCGAGAACAGCGCGTCTGCGCTGGCATCTGACACCGACACCACGAGTAGCTCGTCTTCTTCTTCTTCAGCGTTCCCGCCGATCCGGCGGCCTCCGGCGTGCCGTCGGCCACGGTCGGATATGAATCTCTCATTGAGAGCTCCGATAACCGAGATGCCCGAGGACGGGGGCGAGCTCCCTCCAGGCGGTCCCGACTTCTCTACACCTCGACCGCAGCGCGAGAAGAACCCGCGAGAAATCTTACACGAAGGCGAGCGAGGCTTCATTGTCGACCTCAGGCTCAATCTGGATGTCGAGGTCCATATCAAGGCGAAGCTCTCGGGTGACCTGACACTATCAGTCTTGTAATATCTGTACTGGAACAGCGGCAAGGAGTATTGTGTGATGAACGTGCGATAAAGTTAATCGTGTAAGAGTATTCTGACTGGCGCATAATGGAACACGGTGTAATAGTACAGGGGATAAGAGGCGCTATGAGGTTTGGGCAGGCAGCATATGGTTCATTGGTACGAAACGGCGTCGAGAGCGATGTTTGGAAAACTACAAAAACTAGTGCGGCATTGAAATGTAACTGAGAGACACCATTTAAGTCTTGATATCTACTTTCGACTCTTTTTCTTTTTCCCTGCAAACTTTTACCATTCCATCAAAATTGTGATTCTGGCAACACAGTCATAATCACTCCGTCTTCTTCTTCTTCCTCTCGAACCCCTCCGTCAAAGCAGCAGCAACATCCTCCACCGTCGTGCCCCTCTTCCTCTTGCCAATCTTCTCCCCGCCCAGCGGCGAATCCTCCGCCACGGACTTGTACACCCCCGCCGCGCCCACAAACAACTCGGGCCCGAACCCGCCCTCCTCGGCGTGCGTCTTGCTGATCTCTTCCATCTCGCGGACCCAGCGGTACGCCTTGGGAGGCATCGTCGTCACGCCCTTTTCGGCGGACTGCAGGTGCGAGGGCAGGCGGGCGGCGAGCTCGGCGCGCAGGTGCGGGAGGACGCCCATTCTGTGGGCCGAGGTGAAGGCTTGGGTTGCGATGGCGGTGAAACCTTTGGAGAGGGAGGCGAAGCACATTTTCAGGCCCGAGGCAGCGCCGATGGTTTCGGAGATGTGGTTTCCGCCTAGGACGGTGCTTAGGCGGGCGCCAAAGTCTGTCGCCTCTGTGGTGGTGCCCGGGAGGGAGAGGTCGGATAGTTTGTAAGGGCCGGACATGGGCATGCCCGGGACGGACCACGCATCCGGGTCGTTGTCGTCATCGTCGCCGCCGCCGGTAGTACCGGGTAGTGGGGCCGAGGCAGAGACGTTGGTGCCGGCGTTGGGGGCGGATTTGAGCCTGGGCGGGGCGCCGATGATGCAGGCGTCTATGAAGCGTGCGGGGCTGCGGGGGGCGCGGGCGAAGGAGGCGGCGATGGATTTGCAGGTTGAGGGGGCTACGGCGTTCATGTCGATGAAGTAGAGGGGCGTCTCGCGCGAGGAGGACGTCCCGGCGAGGGCGTCGATGATGCGGTCTGCTGTGGCTTCTGCGTCGCGCGGGGGTACGACGGAGAGGATTACGGCGCATTGGGATACTAGGGCTTCGTCTGTTTCTAGGAGCTCTACTTTTGCGTCGCGGGCGCGTTGGAGGGTGTCCTCACTGTGAGCTATGAGTGAGTCGACTGGGAGATGTATGGAAAGAGGGAGGGTTTTAACTTTACCTGCGGCCTTTGCAGTTCGTTGCGACTTGGAAGCCTTTGGCGATGAGGAGCTTGGCGATGCCGACGCCCATGTCGCCGATGGAGATGACTCCGATCTTGGAGGGCGTCCCGTTGTCTGCGGCCATGATCGAAAAAATGGTGAGTTGATGGTTATGTTGTCTAAGATATCTATTTCAATGCTTGGATTATCGCTGTTCGATGAAAGTGAGTGAGATGTATGAGAGAAAGGTGCGCGCGCATCCACTTGCGGCGATCTGAGCTGCAAGTTACAGAATTGCGTCAGTTCCTTTCGTCAAACCCCCCCAATTACCTACCTACACCGCGAACACCGGATGACCGGCCCAAGCTTTACAGCTACAATATAGAAATACATAACATAGCTCTTTTCCAGTACAAATGTTTATAGTACATTATCTCCTAATCTTACAATCGCAGATTTTACAACTTAGTCCCCAAGCCTCCTTCCGTTTCAAGGCTAAGCTTCCTGAAGTTGGAACGTTTTTGGCCTGAAAATCCTAAATGTCCGATCCACGCTCCGGGCACGTCCAGCTTCGTCTCTCGAACGACAGGAGGCTCCGACCTGCACTCGATGAAGAGCCCGTGGGTTGTCACCGCACCGAACTGGTGCCTGATGCTTTGCCACGCCTTCGAAACGGGGACCAGAGCCGATGCCTCCAATCGCGCGTCGTCTGTCATTCCAAAGCAGTCGGTAAACTGAGATTCCTTTTCCGCTGCCACATGCACTTTGGCGGCGGTGAAGGGCGGTGCGACAAAGTATTGAATGTACGAGCCCGGAGCGATGACGCCTTGTTCGGCGTCGACACCGCCGCCCTCGTTCCGGTTCTCAAAGGAACGGATGAAGCTGTCAAGATCCTCTTCCTCGGAGGAAGCAGAATACTTGACTTCGGGGTCGAGCGAAAGGAGGCCTGCCTTCTTGCCCCAGCCGCCGCCACCACTCTCTTCATTCGCTTGTTAGACGATGAGCTTGCACTCTGGTGAGCTGGGCATTCAACTTACGAATCTTGTAGACTCTGACACCCCTCTTGATGAGCCATTTGAGATAGTCTTTCATATCCAACGCCAGTCTCCACTCGTCTCCAGCGTTCTGTATCTTTGACGCCCACCCCGACCACTTATTCAAGAATTCGATGTTTCCCGCTTGGTCATCGCCAGGGGGGCAAACGAGGCCCCATACACCCACAGGGCCCGGAGGGAACTCGTGGCCCTCTGCCGTCCGCCTGTCAAAAAGCGCCTGGACAGCCGTCTCGAGCTCCGCTGAAGCGGGCGTCTCCTTGCCATCTACCTCAACCTGCCTGATGATGTTGCCCAGACCCGATACGATCTTTCGCGGAGCCGTGATCGGGACCAGGGATGCTTGAATCAAGTTGCTTGTCTCGATTTCTCTATTGGTGAAAATGTTGACTTCCTGAGCCCGCCTCTCTTCGCGCTCGATCAGATCCAAGCCCCCCTTTTTGTTGAGATACCAGCGGCTAGCGATGAGCGTCGACTGGAGGCCATTGTGGAAGATTGTGTTTGCCAAGGGAAGTGTGCATACGTAATTGTCAGGCTTCCTTCCGTAGGAAAAGGTAATGGAAGCGTTCAGCTTGGCGTTGCTGGATGGAGCAGACTGCGCGTCAGAAAGATTCTTCTGCCACAGGCTCGGCATGATCATATGCTCTGGCCCGTAGTAGAATGAGAATCCGCGTGGGATGTCACCGAATGCACGGAGGGGATGAAGCCCATCGACTACACCGGCGAGAGCGGTGACTTCGCGGCCCACTTCGAGGTCTGACTTCGAATCACCAAAGGGTCGCAGCAATGCGGCCATGAACTTGTCATCTAGCAGCCATGACGCATATTGCCGGGACGCAAGCACTACAACCGTGCCGTCGACTTTCTTGAGGCCTTTACTCTCAAAGGCCCTGACTGTCCTGGTCACTTTCTTAACAAGTGTGCCCTATGAACGCGGTCAGTATGAATGAGACGGGAGGTCTTGATGCAAGTTAGGTCTTTCAAGGCAGGCTCACCTGCCAGCTGTCTTCATTTCCGTGGATACTGAAGCATGCCGTTTGCATTCCTCGTCTAGAGAGTGGTTGTCTGGCACATTGGGCGAACCGGGGGATGGCTCTCTGGATATACATGGCGTCACGGCCACCACCGTCGAGCTAGGTCGAGCTCTCGGGATGGCTTTTCCTTGTTCGCGGTTGAATGGATGGAACTATCACACGCACATATGCTGGTAAGATCGTTTCCTTACAAATCCATTGAAACAAATGGAGAATTCGGGTGAGTCAGGTTCCCAGCTTCGGAAGGTAGGAAGTGAATGAATGTATGATGAATTATCCAATGACCTTGATTGGTGTGGCTGGAGCTTGAGCTTCCAAGTTCAATCAGTCGATAGGAAATGCGCCAGGGCAAAAGCGGCGTGCGACTCATCCAATGGAACTTTGGTACGGACATTTCTTATCGATAAGGCAAGTCATCGATAAGGTACCTCAACCCACCCCCTGCCCTGTGGCTGGAAAATCGGACTTGAGCACCTCAGGTTCCCTGCGCGTGTGGCTCGCACCCGAATTTTAGCTGCATGACCCCTCCAAGGCCCTCCTCCTCGAACACCCAATCCTGTGACTCAAATCCGCGAAGTGCTGCAATCAGACCGCCGAGTCATAGTTGCTTGCCCCTCCTCGGAGACCTTTGGAGATTTTTTTGTATTTGTACCATCAGTCGAAGCCCACCTCCCCGGGCTTCTTCGCAAACATATCCACCACGTCCAACTCAATATTTCTTCGAGCACTCCGCGTGCGCCCTCCATCACTCAGTCTACGACCACGTCCTCCCCGTCTTCGACCTTTCCTACAGACACGTGCCACCATGGCCACCGACAGCGGACGCGGAAACCCCAGTGCGCAAGCCCCTCCTGCCCCAGCCCACCCCCCACATTCTCACGATGCCTCCCGAGCCAATTCCCATTGTGATGCCCTCCAGACATTGAGCTGACCAAGTGTCTCCTTTCCTAGTCGGCGCCACTGAGGGCCTCCAGGAGCAGGCGCCTCCTGCCGTCTCAAACGAAACCAAGGCCCAGGTTGCCTCGACGGATGCCACCCATGCCGCTGGCCAGGATGCTGGTGCGACCACCGGCGCACCCCCAAAGGTGAAGACCGAGAAGGAATTGGAGAAGGAGCGCAAGAAGGCCGAGAAGGACGCCAAGTTCAAGGCGAAGCTCGCCGAGAAGGCCGCAAAGGCCGCCGCCGCCCCCGCTGCGTCCAAGAACAAGGAGAAGAAGGCCAAGGCCGAGAAGAAGGAGGAGGAGGCCATCCCCGAATACGTTGAAGATACCCCCAAGGGAGAGAAGAAGCGCCTCAAGCCTCTTGAGGACCCCCACTTCAAGGCGTATCACCCTGAAGCTGTCGAGAGTGCCTGGTATGACTGGTGGGAGAAGGAAGGCTTCTTCAGTAAGTGATTCCCGGCGACCCCCCTTTTCGCGTGAGGCTTTGCGTGGGCTAATTCAACCTCAACAGAGCCCGAATTCACTGCCGATGGCAAGGTTAAGCCCGCGGGCAAGTTCGTCATCGCTCACCCTCCTCCCAACGTTACCGGTGCCCTGCATCTGGGCCACGCCCTCGGCGACTCCCTTCAAGATATCATGATTCGATGGAACCGCATGTTGGGCAAGACGACGCTCTGGATCCCCGGTTGCGATCACGCTGGTATCTCGACACAAAGCGTTGTCGAGAACATGCTCTGGAGAAGAGAGGGAAAGACCCGTCACGACCTCGGCCGTGAGGACTTTGTCGACAAGGTCTGGACCTGGAAGGGCGAATACCACGACAAGATCAACGCTGCTCTCCGAAAGATGGGAGGAAGTTTCGACTGGAGCCGTGAGGCCTTCACCATGGACGCGAACCTGTCCGCCGCTGTTGCCGAGACCTTTGTCAGACTGTTCGAGGAGGGCACCATCTACCGCGCCAACAGACTTGTCAACTGGTCTTCCCGGCTCACCACCGCCCTTTCCAACCTCGAGGTTATCAACAAGGAGCTGACTGGAAGGACACTGCTAGAGGTTCCCGGCTACGAGAAGAAGATTGAGTTTGGTGTTCTGATTCATTTCAAGTACCAGATTGAGGGTACCGATGAATATCTTGAGGTTGCCACCACCCGTATTGAGACCATGCTGGGTGATTCAGGTATCGCCGTTCACCCGGATGATCCTAGATACACGCACCTGGTTGGAAAGAAGGCCGTGCATCCCATCATCAAGGGCCGTCTGATGCCCATCGTTGCGGATACCTACGTCGACAAGGAGTTCGGTACCGGTGCCGTCAAGCTCACCCCGGCCCACGACCCCAACGATTTCAACTTGGGACAGAAGCACGGTCTTGAGTTCATCAACATTCTTACCGATGATGGAAACATCAACGAGAATGGTGGCAAGTACCAGGGCCAGAAGAGATTCGAGTAAGTGATTGTGCAGATCTCGTATAGCTTAATGTGAACTGACCTCTTTAGTGTGCGTTATGCCATCCAGGAGGAGCTCAAGCAGCTCGGTCTCTACGTCGACAAGAAGGACAACGCCATGACTATCCCTCTCTGCGAGCGTTCTAAGGACGTCATTGAGCCTCTGCTGAAGCCCCAGTGGTACATGAGCATGCGCAGCATGGCCGACGATGCCGTTGCCGCTGTCAAGGACGGCAGAATCAAGATCAAGCCCGAGTCCTCGGAGCGCAGCTTCTACGCCTGGATGGCCAACATCAACGACTGGTGTATCTCCCGTCAGCTTTGGTGGGGTCACCGTTGCCCTGTTTACCTGGCCAAGGTTGAGGGCGAGAAGTCTGATTCCCTGGACAACAAGCGGTGGTTCGCTGGCAAGAACCGCGAGGAGGCCGAGGCCAAGGCCAAGGCTGCCCTTCCCGGCAAGACGTTCACTCTTGAGCAAGATGAGGACGTTCTCGACACATGGTTCTCTTCTGGTCTGTGGCCCTTCTCAACCCTGGGCTGGCCCAACAAGACCCAAGATCTGCAGGAGCTGTACCCGACCTCCGTTCTCGAGACTGGTTGGGATATTCTGTTCTTCTGGATCGCCAGAATGGTCATGCTTGGTATCAAGCTTACTGGCCAGGTTCCTTTCACTGAGGTGTACTGCCACAGTCTCGTCCGTGACTCCGAGGGCCGTAAGATGAGTAAGTCGTTGGGTAACGTCATTGACCCTCTGGACGCCATCGCAGGTATCAAGCTCGAAGACCTCCACGCTAAGCTTCGCACTGGTAACCTGCACCCCAGCGAAGTTGCCAAGGCTGAGAAGTACCAGAAGGTGGCCTTCCCTGATGGTCTGCCTCGTAACGGTGCTGACAGTCTTCGCTTCACCATGGCTGCGCTCACATCGACGAGCGGTGATGTCAACTTTGACGTCAAGGTCATGACCGGCTGGAGAAAGTTCTGCAACAAGATCTGGCAGGCGTCTAAGTACGTCCTCGGCAACCTGCCCGCGGACTTTGTTCCCGCCAAGGAGGCTACCGTTGGTGTCACTCTCGCCGAGAAGTGGATCCTTCACAAGCTCAACAACGCCGCGAAGGAGATGAACACCGCTCTGGCGGCGAGGGATTTCCAGCAGGCCACTGGTATTGTGTACCAGTACATTCTCAACTTCCTCTGCGATGTCTACATTGAGAACAGCAAGTCCATCATTAGAGATGGCACGCCCGAGGAGGCCGCCAGCGCCGTCCAGACCCTGTACACTGTGTTGGAGGGTGCGCTGACCATGATCCACCCCTTTACGCCCTTCCTCACGGAGGAGCTGTGGCAGCGTCTGCCTCGTCGTCCCGAAGACAAGACCAGGTCCATCATGCTCGCCAGCTACCCCGTCTACGACCCCAAGTTCGACGACCCCAAGTCTGAGGCCGCCTACGAGCTTGTTCTGGGATGCTCGCGTGGTGCGAGATCGCTCATGAGCGAGTACGCTCAGAAGGAGGAGAGCAAGAGTGAGTCGCCCGTGCCGATGTTGCGATGCAGATCCCGCCCACTAACACGAACCGCAGTCATCATCCAGTCTCACGACGCCACCTCGCACCAGACCATCAACGACCAGGTGGCCTCCATCAAGACCCTCAGCGGCAAGGGCGTTACGGGCATCGACATCATCGCCTCCGACGCCGCCCGTCCCGCCGGCTGCGTCGCGTTCCCCGTCGCCTCGTCCGCCTCGGTGTACCTGCACGTCAAGGGCCGCGTCGACCTCGACGCCGAGGTCGAGAAGGCCAAGAAGAGGCTCGACAAGGCGCGCGCCAACATTGACAAGCAGCATAAGGTTCTCAACGACCCCATCTACAAGGAGAAGGTCGCCGAGGCCGTTCAGAAGCTGGACAAGCAGAAGCTCGTCGACCTCGAATCAGAGGCCAGGAGTTTCGAGGACACGATCAAGCAGTTTGAGCAGCTTAAGCTCGAGTAAAGGGCTTGGATGTCTGTGGGGCAAGGAGTAAAAAAAAAAAAGGTAGACGCATTTGTCTGTGGTAGAGATGCGATAGGACTACTGGTTGGGGGAGCAGGATTTCTTTACTTGTCGTTGTTACCTTATCAAGAGGTCAGGGTCTAAATAGAGCCCGAATGTCAAAGTTCAAAAAAGAATGGCGTTAAGACATGGTATATTTCGAATGAGGCACAATCCGCCTGTCCACTTGTATGATGCGACTCATATAGTGACCCTTGTTTGAACCGATGCGATGGACACCAAGTATCACCTTAAACCACCCTAGACGCATTGAAAGCTGCTGTAGAGGGCATACCAATCGCAATGACATGTTCGCGCAGCCCCTAGACAGATCCACAGTCTCCCTTTGCGTAACAACACCCACGTACCACCTAGAAGAGCCCCAACGCACCCGTTGCTCACTGCTTCTTCTTGTTCGCAGACCCCTTGGCCCCCTTCTCCTCCTTCTCAAGCTTCGCAAAGTCCTCGCGGTCCTTGCGCTCAGCATACCACTGCCCAGCCTGCAACACCAACACACCCACCAACACGAGTGCCAAGATGGTATTACTCGCCGCCAGCACCTTTAAGCTGTCCTCCTTGCCCAGAATAACCTCCCCCGTGACGGGACCGTCCTTGACTTCGCCCGTGAAATTGGGGTCATCCCAGATCCCCGCGCTCACGGAGCGAAGACCCTTTACAATGTTGGTGATGTAGACGCCTACGCCGATGAGGTAGAGGACCAGGGAGGCGCCGTCAAAGAGGACGTTTGCCTCTGATGGGCGGAAGAGTTTGATGAAGAAGCCGAGGAAGCCGGTGAAGACGATGATGTTGAGGAGGCGGCCGATGAGGGGCGGGGATTGGTGCATGAACTTGAGGTGGGTTTCGAGGTGGGTGAAGAAGGTTTCTGGGACGGGGGCGGAGGTCCAGAGGAGGGGGAAGTCGTAGGGGAAGGAGGCGAAGAGGATTCCGAGGAAGAAGCAGGTTGCTGTTTTTGGGAAAGAGGGGTTTTGGTTAGCTATTTTGGATTCCTCTTCTCGGATCTGTTTTATGTTTCTTTGCTGGTGATGCGCGAGATGTGGCTAGAGGGGATGGGGAAGGGGGAAGAGGAGACGTACGCCCGATGATCATGAACGTCGCAAAGGAGGTTGAGCCGCGGTAGTTGGGCGATTGAGTGGTCTTTGACCGATCGACCCAGCCTGACATCTTGGGCGGTCGCTTCTCGTTTTCTGTCGACTATGTGGGTTGCGAAGAGAGAGACGTGTGAATGCGCGCGAACTTTGCTTTCGCGACGAAAAGGTTTCGTTTTAGGAAGCGCAAAGACCTCGGTTTGTCGACGATACGAGAAAAATCTCTCGCTGGCTTCTCGGTAGAAGTGAAGGAGACCAATACGTTCAACTGCGATTGATGTCAATCAATCAATCAATCGCGCGCGCGCTCACAAACAACGAGGGGTTGGTAGACGGAGTCGTATGTAGTTGAACGAAAGGGTTCGGAGGGGCAAAAGACGCGGGCGGAGGAGAGAGAGGTTGGACGGGTGGTATGTGCGTCTATTTGTTCGCAGAAATGCAAGTCCCCGTAGCTCGGATTTTGTGCAAAGAACTTGTTCCCACTGATAACGACCTCCAGTCTAGGTAGAGTTGTGCTTACGTAGGTTGCCCACACCTCACTCTCTCACTCCCCAAACCCCCAGTTGGCGGAGAAGCTACCTGACCTTATCCACAAATCCTCTATCAATTTCAATCTTAATCTTTTTTGCGGAGTTGGCTGGACCGAGGGAGCGACTCTGGGGTGGATTAAGCCAAGATTGCCTAGTCTTCTGGAAGCCCAAGAATTCCAATTGGAAACATTGTCTGGCGTCGGGCCCAGCTGCTCGCTAACGAAGCTTCTGCTGGCTGGCTGGCTGGCTTTTCTCTTCTCTCAGGCTCTCTCAGCTATGGAAGCCTTCCTATCACTTGTGAAGTGCGGCTTTCGTCGGGCGGGGCGGGGCGGAGGGACATTACCTATCAGGCTGTCACTGACAAGTTACGACCGAACAAACGCCACCATGTGCGGGCGAGCCGACAACGTACTCACAAGCCGGGCCACTAATCAACATTCCCAGTCTTCCCGAATCCGCGTTACATTCACATAGCCCGATGGTAAGGGTGGCTGGAGGCTTGCCGGGCCTGGCTTGGGGGGTTTAGGCCCTGGAGATGTTCTCGAAACATTCTGGTCCTCTTCCCCGAGATGACAATCCGGAGATTACAACTGCGTGGCCTTGTCATCCGGGCCCATTGCTTGTTTGTTTGTCTATCTGTCCGTCTGTCGGACAAGATGTGAATCGTGCATCACTCGTAGTAATTCATATTTCTGGCACATCTTGTGTCAAAAGCAACAGAGTACTTTGGGCCTTGTCTTCATTGGAACTAATCCGTGTCCACCCGAGGGCACGTCTTCATGTTGTACACGCACACAACCTGCAGAACCAAGTTGAGGCAACCTGGCCACTTTTTCCACCTCTGTCGGGCGTTATCGTCCTGAAATTCGATTGCACCAGTAGAAGGCTCGCTGACCTTCCTTCTTTCCTCTCACCGAGATATCCGCACGCTTGGATGAAACAAAAAGAAACCAGAAATCCTCGTCAATGGGATGCATCCCTCAAAGACTGTTCCAACCAGATCGTCAAGAACGGAAATGGGTAGTCGTATGTACGGGTAATAAAAAAAAAAAGAAGGATAGAAAGAAAACGAGAGAAGAAATAATTAGTATGGAAAATGTTTCGCTACCATGACAATGCTGAGCCCGTCAGAAGCTCCAGGCAGGTATCAGTGCTGAATCGCAAAGACAGGGTACGCCTTCAACTCAACGACTGCCGAGAACAGAATCGTCATCGTCGCCTCGTGAGTGGGAGAACATCTCCCGGGGTATAATGACAAACCTGGAATGGAAACAATGCATAACAGTACCGCAAATAAAGCATCAAATCCGCACTCCTGTCGAGGATGGCTTCTTACCCAGCGTCATTTGGCTCAGCGACAATGTCCTGGCTGCCTTCTTCCGCTGGGGGTCTTCGTCCTCGTCGCGCAATTCCTCCCCGAAAGCGCCATAGCCGTGATGCTGCTCTTCCCTTGGCGTCGCGAACACCTCCGAGTACGAGTCCTCGTCTCCAGGGCCGGTCCCAACGCCAGAGTCTTCGGCCAAGAATTGATGAGTCCTTGACGCGGCTTCCTCCTCGTCGGATGAATCCTGGTCAAAGGCAGACACGCTGCCAAACGACTTGGCCGTTGGGGGAGGCTCCATTGCCAGAGACATGCGGCCATGACCGCTGGGTCCAGAGATCATGTTCAAGCGTCTCGTCAGCTTCTTGACCTGAGACTCTAGGGCCTGTCGAGAGGCTCTTTCCGTCTCCAACAGCGCAAGGAGCATCGTGTAATGATCTGCTGTGAAGGTCTCTTGTGCCCTGTTCGGCTCGATACGAGATAGTGCAGGTAAGCTTGTTACGCCTCGGATGGTGGAGTTCGACGTCGGCCTGTTCATGGATGCAGGGAGTTGAAGAGAGCCCACATACGTGGGAGTCTCGCCGAAGGAGGTGTGAGATTCCTTGGAATGTGCAGAGCTACTGTACCGAGAGACTGGGGCTTGTTGGCGTGAGAGTTGCTGCAGTGCCGGATTGACTGCAGTGCTTGTCGTTTGAGAAGATGGATTCGAACCTGGGACCGAAGGCGCAGGACGTTGTGGCTGGTTCATGTGGATCTGGAATCCAGGAACAGAGTTGCACAGATGTGTAACCACGTCCTCCACACGATGCATCCTCTCCTCCAGTGTCTCTATGCGTGTCTCGATACTGGCCGCCTGGGTGATCTTCATGCCAGCCATGACATTCATGTGCGTCAAGTTCCCAAACGAGAACGGTTGAGGTGGTGTGTGCACCTGTCCCTGCTCGATGGGTGACTCGGGCATGCTCATGGGAGGAGCCATGCCCGTGAACTGATTTTCATGGTCTGGAATATTGGACGACGCCGGCGATGCGATGAAGGCTGGGTCATAGCTTTCCCTCCAATATCGGATTTCGTCGCTTCTGCGCCGAACTTCGGATCGTCCTTCTGGGTTTTGCATTCCGCTAAGACTCCTAGATCGGCGCTTTTGGCTAACATCACTAGTGATGGCTCGCCCAATTTCTTCGGGGTCATCGTCATCTGTGAACAAGCGACTCCCGCGTACGTGAGTGCTTGCAGGGCGAGGCGAGAGACCTGCGAGTTCCCCCTCGCGACTCCTGAAAGGGGCCGAGTAGATCTGACTTGTGGTGGCGGTGGCCGCCCTCTTGTGACCTTGATACAGAGATGGGTCGACGTTGATGGAATTGCGCGCACTCTCAATGGCGGTAATGTCTTGGGGCCCAATGGAGTGAGACCGTAATGCTCTGTCGTACTCGGTGATCGGCAAGGACGCCGATCGCTTTGGTTCGGCTTCCTTGACTCGGCTTAACCCGGAAGTGTCCTGTTGGTCCCCCGTCAGTCTCCAAGTTCAGAAAGAATGCCATGGTACGGGAGCAGCCGGTGCCGAAACTTACGCTCTTGTGCTGGTTCGAGGCATTGTACGTCGATACGCGCTGGGAATCGGTCGAACCCTGAGAGCTCGTCTTCTTTTTGCGACCAAAAAGCTTCCCCAATGCGCCGCGCAATGTTGACTTTTTGCGTTGTGGGCGATCCTTGCTCGCGCCCGTCTGTTCAGATGAAGCACTCACAGCAGAGTACCGCAAGTTGCTGGATACGTTTGTTCTTCTTTGTGACTGGGGCGTGTTGGCGTGTGTCGCGGATGTTGGTGATGATGCCGAACCGGAGCCAGAACCGGCGGAACCCGTTGGTGCAATCCCCGAGTCTGCTCTCGGGGCCTGTGAAACTTCGGGCTGAGGCTGAGGGACCGAGACAATCGATCCGGCCCTTTGTTCGGCCTGCGGCGGATGCATCATTTGCTGCTGCATATCGCCCTCTGTCAGAGGCGTGGCAATCCCGGTGCCTGGGTTGCGCATTGGAAATTCGTCGTCGACTGGGCTAGGGATAGGAATCGGGCCTGATATTTTGCCCCGAATGGACTGGCCCGTTAAAGATCGTGGTACTGCGCCAGGAGCGGCGGGTGGGTTGGCCGACTTGAAGAGGCCCATGGCAGTTCCAACAATTGGTGAACACTTCGTGCGTGGCTCTAGGTCTAGAGCGAGTATGAAGGAGGCCAAAGGGCGAAGAGCGTTGTATTTGATAGTCAACCGCTGTTAAGCCATGAAGTGTGATAAGGCCCGAAGAGAAGTGACGAGGAAGGGCAGAGATAATGTTGGTGAGACCCCAAAGGATTGCCAACGGGATGCGTCCGGTGCCGTGCCGTGACGGTTTGTTTAGTTCCAATGCCAATGCCCGGTTCGCCAGTCGAGGCTGGGATTCTTGATCGGACGCCCCAGATGTCTAGGCCAGGTGGTGATCTATGCTGGAACCTGATTCATGGTGCATATAGCCAGCAATGCGGCGCGTCGTCTGGGCCTGTCGGAATCGGAGAGGCGGAGAGGTGGCGAAATGCGCCCTCTACAGCCGCGGTGACGGTGTGTATCCGTACGAGAGGAGAGATGGATGTCGAGTGGTTAATCAAGGCACGAGAACTGAGGCGAATAAAGGAGGGAAACCCACGAGGGGATCGAGGATTGGGGTAGTAATTAAGCAACTAAGAAGGGGGGACCCTAGCAGCGCATGCGTCATGTATCAAAGGAGCACCCAGGCAGGTCTGCGACAGGCTGACGAGGCGGGCCGGAGGAGCAATGTTGATTAGAACGGGCGGTAGCGTATAGCGCGCTGCTTAGCTTGAGGTAGGGCGCGGGAGGAGAACGGTTGGTGAAGGGTATGAATTAGACGACAAGAGAGGAATGCGTGATGAATAGTGGTAGAGGTGCAAGGAACGTGAGAGCAAAGTAGTGGTACCTGAAGCAGATCAGGGAGTAGGTAAATATGGTACGGTCTTCGTACTTTGACAATAATAAGCCGAGAGAGGCAAGTAATAGGTAATAGTAGACGTGATGTAAGACTGGTCGGGGAAGAAGCGAAGAGATGCGGTTGGTTCAGAAGATGCTTCCTTTTTTTTTTCCTTTCGCGTGTCTACAACGGCAAAAAGTACGACACGGCAGAGGGCAGGAGGAAAAAGAAACAAAGAGCCAGAAAGGGCGGGAGAAAAGGGAAAGCAATGGCATGTATCTGTATCGGTTGTTCTCGCGCACGATGTGTACAATGTACTTTCCGAGGTACTTCGTACATCAGACTTTACATACAAGGAACCAGCAAGGGTTCCTGAAGGGGAGGGAGATGGAAAGACAAGGGCGGGAAGCTCTGATGGAGACCAAGTATCCGTACGGAAGAAGAGGCAGAAAGGCAGATGCAGAACAGACGCAGATGCTAGCGCGATGAAACAAGTATGCATGCACGACCAGGAGGATACGGACCATTGGAACGCCGTCAATGGTGCGTACTGGCCGCGTCTAAGATACAATGATGGGGCAAGTTGCAAGCCGCAAGCCGCAAGATTCGAGAAGAAGGATACCTAGGCCAGCCGTTTGGTTTTCTGCGCCTACGGATAGCCACCGTCCATGCAGACGCGTATTCCCAATTCTGGACGTTCATGTCATGTTATGGCACACGTAATAATCCGCATATTGTTATCCTCAAGACTAAAGGTTGCTTCGAAGAGAAGAGAGGACAAGCCGCGAACAAGGGACTCAGCAGAGTTACAGGGCAGCAGGAAAGGTCGGAGGTCAAAGACAAGCTTGAAGCCGCAATGGAAGCCGAAGCGTCCCATTCCATGACGGTTTCCATTTCATTTCGTCAGGGTGCCCTGGTGGTGCCCCGGCGCCCCTCGTGGCCTTCGCCGTCGCCGTTCGCTCGCTGCCCCCTGCTCCATGTCGTTCTTGGCTTCCCTGGCTCGGGGGATGGCCCTTGTTTGAGGCCAGTGCTTGGGGCGCCCAGAGCAGTGGGGAAGGAGAAAGGGAAAGGACGTGGGACCCCCCCCCCTGGCTGGAAGAGAACATGTTGGACTCTGGAAGGACTCTTGGAGGAAGCCATTGGATGAGCCATTGGACATTTGGGGGTCATTGGACTCGGAGGACTGGGAGCGGTGTCGTCGCGCTAGAGGCGCTGACGGTGACACCTCGACCAACTGAACTCGGTGTCCTTGCCCATCCAAGGCAAGCCACCTTTTTGTTGTGCATGTCGGAGCAGGCCATTTGCCAGGGGATGCACAGCCGGGACTAGACGTGAGCTGCAAGAGTTGCGTGTGGTGTCTGTTGTTGTGGTAGGTCTGTGTGGTTGAGAATGAGTCGGGATTGGACGAGGAACGTGGGTGGACGTCGACTTTGACCAATTGTCACGTTTGAGATATCGTGTGTCCGTTCATACGCAGCAAGAGGGCGTCGTGGGTGTGTATGAGCAACGTGAGGGATGGGTGGAATGTGGGAGGAAGAGGCGCGTAGGTTGGTCTTTGGTACTGTCATACAGGCAAGCACCAAACCAGCGACTTCGGCTCTCTCTGTCCATCAACAAACAATGTTCCAGGCGTCGATCAAGGGAACGAGTGGTAGGCGGGGGGGGGGGGGGGGCATGTTGGAGTGGAATATCGTGAAAGGTGGCATTGAAGTGGTCAGTATTGGGGCTCGTTGCACCGACTGAGTAAGGTAAGGTATGTAGGCAATGTATTGGAAAGCATAGGTTTCCATACCCATACTTTGTACAAAGCTATGAAAAGAGGCCTTGGAGCATCCGTACTCTGTAGGTATTGTTGGATCTTCTCATCTCGTCAGTGGCAGTTCCGGTTCCAGTTCCAAGTCCAGGGCCACACTTCGTACGGATATGCAGTGTCTCAGCCTCAACGCAAAACAGTTTACCCTCCCGAATGCCTAAAAGGTCATTGTGATCCACGCGACCTGCTTGTTAAACGACCGTGACCACCCCCACATGCACGACTCACCTGCACTGACAGCTGTGAGATGAGGAGTCTACTCCGTCCGAGTATCGAAGTATCCGTAGATACCCAGGCGTGCCAGGGTGCTACCTATGTACTCTGTACGGATACCTTGCTTGAGAAGTACCTTGTGTGGATACTAGAAAGCTCCTCCTGCGTGACTGCCACCATCTGTGGTCCTGACATGATATCTGCAGGCGGCACTGAGTAAGAACTTTCCGTACCAAGTACCTTATTAGAACCTGCGAAGAAATTTACCTGGGCAAGAAGATTGAGAAGACTTGAGAGGAAAGAGTAGGGAGTTTGTACTCCGTAGATGGAAAGGTAATTCCCGGCCCTGCCGGCTCCATTTCACCCGGATTGCTGGTCCGACTTCTCCTCCGAGGAGCTGCCGCATTTGGCGTCTTGTTTCAGTCTCTGCTTCCTTTTCTTTTTTTCTTCCCATCAACATGGGGGCCCAACAAGGGAACTCGCTCCCGCTGCCCGTCCCGCCATGGCTCATTCCATGAATCCATGCTGAGGTCACAGGTGTCAACTTCACCTCGCATCGTCAGATACGAGACTACCTACATCCTCGTTTTGTCCTCGGGTTGCAACAAGCCTGCACACACCGATTACAACAGCAGCACAACCGTCGAGTGTGTGATTGATGATGCCGCCTACGGTTATACCTACTACCCTACATACGGATACTGTCACCCGCTACAACTCTAGATTCGCATCACTCGACCCGGTTCTTGGCCTTGTCGCTACCAAACCCCGACTCTATCTGTGCTGAACTGAACGGGGGTGGGGGGGCATCGACCAGCGACAGGCCTCGTCTCTCAAGTCTCGCTTTTTTGTATCCCAGCCGTTCATCAAGTTGACGGGCGAGTCGTGGACGAGGTCAAAGCCATGCTGCTCGAGGGTGCTGATAATTGTTACGAACAACCGACAGTGCTGTAACTTTTAGTCTGACAGCCATCGACCAACACCATCGGAAATCGACCAAGCCTAGCTAGCATCTTCACCCGACATGGCGTTCCAGATCCCGCCATCCAAGACCTCTATCGCCAACTAGTCGTCCAATATCATGACGCCGCGCTAGGGTATCAGCGAACGCCTGCCTTACCCCAATAGGAAGTGAGCGAGGGCACCGGCAAACGGAATGCTGGGTTTCGAGGATCCTGCCACCCAAGACCAACGGCACTCTAACTTCTCTCGTCCGCCTGGCCGTTTGCACTATCTCATTTGCGGTCGGATGCCTCTGTCACTTCCACTGGCGCCGCCGCCGTCAGACCTGACAGCCATTCACACTAGATTCTAGCTGATTTTGAATCCCGATGGCTCGACGACTGTCCATCATTGTGGTAGCGCTAGCTTCAGCTCCCCAGAAGCAACGCTGCAGAGATGTGATTGCTAGCCTCTCGGACGAATCCAATGTGCCACCGAGCCGCAGGTTACGACGGAGTTTTCCTCACTTGGATCGCTGCAACCACATGCCACGTCCTCCTGCATGCACCTGCCACCTACTTGCGTTATTCTTGGTTCACACCGGCGGCAACCTCTGGATGCTGCGGCACAATCCAGTACTTGAATAGGAATCAAGCAGTTTCCATCACAACTCACTTTGGGCCCCTTCTTGGAGGAGCAAAACCCTTCCTCGGCCGCGTCTTCCAGCCCCCCCGTCGACGACGTGCAGCATCTTCGCGTCCAAAAGACAGTCCAGCATCCACATAACTGCATTTAGGACAGCCCCACCTCGCAGGATTCAGAGGCTAAAGTATTACATGGCTTGCAAGCCTTTTGCCCATTAAGAAGAACCCCCGTTGTCCCCTATTGTCTGCCTAGATCATGGCCATTCCATTTTTGGGCGAAGCTCGATGACCGTTCTACGGCTCGTATCAATGTGGACAGCTTCTCCGCAACGCAGCATATGCTGGCTTCTTTGGCCTGTCCACACTGACTCGTGGAGGTTGTTCGGCGATGGCCAGAGGCACCGCGAACTCACCGCAAATCTTTGATGAGTGGACTCTTTCTTGGGATTCTGGATTATGACACCTTGCCGGAGTCGCAGAGGGCAGAGCATCGGAAAAATTCTGGACCAGTCAGCTATTTCCGGTGCCTATATGCATTCATGATATAGCTTCAACCAGGAAGGCAGCGGCTCCCTCGTGGTCAACCAACACCATGCAGTACATAGTACTATTACGTGGGCGGTACGGATAGCAAAGCCACGCCAAATCACCCGCACGAAGTGTTTGTGCCTAGTCAATCACGTCAATGTAGCCCCCGATCCAACCTCGATCCAACACCAAAGAAGCTATCCCGCTCCAGCAACGGTTTGATCGTCTCGCCCAGTGGACCTTGGCGGAGCATCATATAGCGAGACAACCGACTTATGATCGGCCGTCAGCCCAGAGCACGAGCGGCCGGCATCTATAGGAGCCGAGTATAACAAAACGGCACGGCTAGTGATACTAGCAAAGCACATTACTCGCCAGCGCTCTTCCAGCCATCGGAATATGCGTCCAATTGGTGGTTTGCCCCGGAATTGGCCTTGTCTCATAGGTATGGGGATGAACCGTTCTTCTGGAAGCGAGCTGATGTGCCGTACTCCGTACTGTGAGTGATATAGGCTGTGCAGTGTCATAGCTCACACTCCATCATCCCCAAACTTGTCTTGCAGTCGGGAGGGTACAATCTGATAACCACAGATGCCAAAGCCAACAAGATGTAGTCGCTGCGCGGGATTGGCACAGCGAGAGTCAACGCAGCGATAGATACGAAGTACAAAGCGGGTGACTGAAGTTTTCACTTTGGTTTCGTCTTGACAACGGACATGGCTTCAAACTAACTCAAAAGAGAGAGCCCTGGTCAGGTTGCAGGTGATATCTTGTGCCAACTTGTGCCAAGAGGCTCGAGACTGATTTGTTGTGTTTTGGTGCGGGCAACCCAATATCAGCCGCAGTCTCAGGTCTGCTTTCAAATACTCTATTCGTACGAATAGTCCACAGACTCCGTACACAACCCCGAAGACGCCGCGAATTCCAGCGCACAATCTCGTCGAGACCGAGCGAGCCAACTCCAAGTCAAGCATCCCCCTCCTCCTCGGTAGGAGAATATGGCGGGTCTGGCCACGCGAACAAGGATGGCACAGGTCGCCAGACGTGGAAAGTAACCTGAAACATACATGGATACCACTTTCTTCGTCTGATCAGTGACGGCTGACATCTGTGCCCCCGTCCCTCCACTTCCAAAGTCTTTCTCTCCCGTCTTCTTTCGTCCATTTGGCCTAGGACCACAAACACGACACGACGTGACCCAAGTCGCCTGTGGCCCTGTGCCCCGGCGCCCATCAACTTGCGTCAACGGAGGACGCACCCTCCCCCCAATGAACCCCTGTGGGCCGCCAGCATGGTTGACGGCCGATTCAAAATTCTACGATACGCCGCGCCAAAAGTCAGACAATGCAGCCCTTTCCCTTTTTGGCAACGTTGGGAAACCAGCACATCCTATCGCATAAGGATTCATCCCAGCTCCCCTCTCCACGGCGGGCCACCACATCGACAAAGCCGGTTCGTCGGTATTCCAGATCGTCTGTTCTTTTGTCGCCACGAGTCCTCTCGTCGCATAAAGGTCGACATTAGGGGGCGGGCCTTGCATGGAAGATGGTTCCTCGGTGCCGCCGCCAGCCCACGGCCTCCCCAACCATCCCAAATTTGGGGCCCTTTTAGGACCCTTGAAGTAACGATAAATCCGGATAACGCAGATCAGCGTTCTCTTCGAGGAAGTCCATCCACCTCTTGAGAAAGTTGCTGCCTCTGATCATGGCGCAACCCACGTTAGCAAAACAGAAGAAACAGGCCCGAAGTGTTGGGCGTTTGACGCGGCTCAGCAAATGTCTCAGGACAAGCCTGCCACCATCTGTGCAGACCGCAGAATATCTACCTCTGCGCCGCACGCCCCAAACCCAACTAGAGAAGGGGGAAGTTTGGGGAAGAGATGGGGGGAAAAAGAAGCAACTTTCTCAAACCGACTCACCTCTTGACTGTCTCCGAATCCCCGATCACCGTCAGCGAGCGTTTAGGTCTCGTCATCGCCACTAAGAACGCATTAACATTCATGCGCTAACGGCCGGTCGCGTGCTGGGATCTTCCCAGCCGGGCCCGCGGCCGGCGGGTTCATCATTCACTTGAAGCTTACCGTTCAATCGGCGCTTCTCGCCCAGGAACCCTACTTCTCCTACGGAATTACTCCGTACAAGGCTGACAATGACGGCCTCCTTTTCACGGCCCTGGAAGCCGTCCACGCTGCCCAGCTCAATGCCCGGGAACCGTTCTTTTAGGGGCGCTAAGATGGCGAGCTGTGGTTCGGTTCATCCGATGTCAGCTTTCATGCCCTGTGGTTCTTCGCGACGACGGACCAGTTCCGAACAAAAAAGTCCGGAATCAAGGAGGTTCGTTGGGTCTGACTAGGCTTACCTGAGCGTTGTAAGGGGTCACGACGGCAATGTCCTCTGGCTTGACTCCCGCGTCGACTAGCTTCTGGACGTGTTGCCGGACCAATGCCCCTTCCATCTCGTTGCTCTTACTCTCCCCGTGCAAACTGAACTTTGCCTTCTTAACAGCGTCCTTGTCGTCGTCCTCGCTCCTTTCGGGGTAGTCCCCGCCTTGCGTGTCGATGAAGATGAGCGGCTCGTTGGTATCTTCCGTGTCCTCAACCTCATACGGTAGGTCTTTGAGCAAGCGCTCCTTTACCGCGTCCGCGGCGATGAGTTTCCCCTCGTAGAGCTCGTCCGAAGGGAACCTCATGATGTTTTCATGCATGCGGTACTGCGTGGTGAGCATACGCTTGATGGATGACCCATGCAGGGCGAGCAGTCTATCAAACAGGGTTGTCTCCAGCGTCATGCCCTTGATGTGCTTCTCCGCGTCTTCTTTGGGGACCGTTGCTGGCGGTGCCGCCGCCGCCTTCACCTTGGAATTGAGCGACTTGATGGTCGGCGGCAGCTGCAGATGATCACCTGCACAAACAGCCTTCTTGGCCGACAGCAAGGGCACCCAGCACTGCGCCTCGAGAGCCTGGCTCGCCTCGTCAATGATGACGACGTCAAACTGCTGGTCCCGGAGCTGGTGCCCGCCCGCGCCGTGCAGCGTCGCCAGCACGACTTTACTCTCGCGGATGAGGTTACTCACGCACCCGCGCTCGCGCTCGCGGAACTCCTTGCGGAGCTCCTTGAGGTCTGCGTAGATTTGGCGCTTCTCGCGGCCGTTGCGCGTCTTTTTGATGGAGGCCTGCTTTGCGTCCATTTCGGCGCGGACGTCCTTGACGATGGCGCCCGCCTCGGAGGTCTGGGTGAGGACGTCGAGGGAGTGGGCGAGGACGCTGGGGAGGAGGCGGGCTGGGTGGCCTAGGCGGAGGATGGGGAGCTTGTGCGGGGCGAGGCGTTCCACGATGTTGTCGACGGAGATGTTGGAGGGCCCGCAGACGAGGATGCGGAGGTTGAGCTTTGTGAGTTGAAGGATTAGTTCGATTAGGGTGTGGGTTTTGCCGGTCTTTGTCGTTGCCCCTTTTTTGTCAGTTATGGAGGTTTCTTTTTTTCTTTCTTTTTCTTATCTTGAGTTCTGTTGCATGGCAGAGGGGGAAGACTCACGCCTGGCGGGCCGTGGATGAGGGCTACTTCGCGGGATGCGAGGGCGAAGCGGATGGCGTCCTTTTGGGAGTCGTTCAGAGACGAGTCGATCCATTCGATCTTTGCGAGTTCCGGATCGGATGCCAGGTCTGGCGGTACCGGTGACGGGCTCGAGAGGCCGAAGAGGACGCGCATGAAGGACGTGTACTCCGATTCCGTCATCTTTTCAATCTTGCCCATGGTTTGGCTCATTCTGTAGGTCTCCGTCAGTCCTGTCTGCCTTGCGTAGATACTTTAGCATTTTGATACCGCCCCTGGTCTGGGTGGCCATCGTTGACAATAGATCGTGGACTAGCTGTCAGTGATGGGGAGTCTAGCCTGGCTTCCATGAAGTCTGGCCTCGAGTGATGCAGCTCACAAGTTTCCATCTCTCCCCAACATGTGGCGCCTCAAAGACAGACAAAACAGAACAAGACAACTGAAGAGGAAACGAGAAAGGAAATCTCACCTCCGGTACGTGACATCATCAGCAACTTTCACAATCCAAACCCTCCCCCCAAACTCCCTCTCCTCCCCCTTACCCTCATCAACAGCAACGCCAACAACCTCCCTCCGCACTCTCGTAACCACCCCTCTCGCCCCTTTACTCTCGAGGTCTTTTACTTCCTTTTTCTTGGCGTTGCCCGCGGGCTGCTCCGAGATGAGCACAATATCCCCCGGCCGGAGGCCGTGTTCCGGTAGTTCACCAGAGGCGGAGGCGACGGCGGGATCCGGGGCGAGTTCGAGGACGGTGCGGCCGCCTAGACCTGTGCGGCGGGCGGTGACGACGAGGTTGGGGAGGGCGAGGCCTGCGCGCTGGAGGGCGGTGGGGGAGTGGGAGGAGACGAGGGCGGATGATTCTGATACTTCTGCGGCGAGTTCTGTTGCGAGGAGCGAGAGTTGGGTTGTTGCGAAGGAGGGGGGGGAGAGGGGTTCTGATGAGGGGGACATTTGGGGGGAGTTCTTTTCCCTTTTCTTTGTTGGCGTGGTCTTGATGATTTGTTCTCCTCCCTTGGCGCCTCTTCGAGTTGGGTAATTTTGTTGGTGGAGTCAGGTTTGTAGACTTCATGTGGTGTAGGTTGATGAGTGATGATATTCGGGACAGAACTGTGGGGAAAAGTTGAGGTGAGGGAGCTGCCGGTGAGATGAAAGGCGTGTGTGTGTGTGTGTGTGTGTCGTTGTGAGAGGAGGTTGTAAGTGGTTCTGTGCGGGTCTCCACAAGTTGAGGTGCAGACTGCAGCTTTTGACGTCATCTGATAGGTTGGAGTTTGGAGAGGGGGAGCTCTCAGCTTTACGATCGCAGGTACGAGATTAGATGAGGTTGTCGAACGGCCCGGATACCTGCATCTTGCAGAATGTCATTGATGCAATTGCCCGGCATAGCTTTGAATTTTACAGAGATTGGGGGATGAAAATAGTCCGTATGTTGAAAGGGCACGTAGTCGAGTGACGGATTGTCTCTCAAAGTCAGCGTGCCCAAGGACTGCCCTCGCTGACTTTCATATTAGAATACTTTTCCTCGGGATTGAATCACATAACGCAGGTTGGGTTGCAAACGAGAGTTACTCATGTCTATGTAGATGACTACACGTACTACATCGTCTTCGGTTGACAATAACAGGGTATTATTGCGTGCTCATTGCTGCGTTACATCGAGAGGAAATAGATATGATATAAACACGCAGCCTTCAAACGAACTCAAACCCCAGTATCCCGTTGGTGCAGAACGCTCTCATTTCCAATACATGCAGCCAGACATGGGCACTCAAACAGATGAATCCCCCGTACAAAACGTCAAACACAAAACAGACATCACCGCTCCCTACTCGTAGGACTCACAACCACAACAACAACCAAACTCACAGCCATGAGCGCAAAAGCCACCATGGACACAATAATAATAGTCCCGCGGCTCGCGGGGAATTTGCCCTTCATAACCCACTGCTGGGCGCGGAAGTAGCGCTGGTAGCCCAGGAACAAGATGAGGATGCTGATGCCCAGGAACGTCGCGCCGAGCGGTTTCCCCAGCTGGCGGAGGGTGTGGCTGTTTGGGTCGTCGGTGCCCGGCGTCGAGAGGGACGAGTTGAGGCGGAAGAGCTGGGTTACGGCGATGCCTATTGAGGCGAAGGCGAGGGATGTGCGGAGCCATGCGAGGAATGTGCGTTCTGTTTTGTGAGGAGAGTCTCTAGGTTAGCTGGAATTGTGTTACATATGCGCAGTCATGATTCTCTATAAGTGAGAGAGCCGACAGAGTGCGGAAAAGCGCAAATAGTGCAAAAAAATAGCTCCCTAGCGTGGAGTCGAACTCAAGGGGTCGGGGTCCGTCTTGTAAGACATATGGAAATCCCCCGTCCCCGGCTGAGTGTTCCATAGTAACCGCTGGGCTAAAGCGCCCGAGGGGTTGAACCCCCGTTTGCCTGTTGGGTAGAGGAGAATAGGTTGGCAATAAAGGAATGTGCTCTGGCCATTGGTGGCTGCTGAGAGGCGCTGACCGTGATGGTTGAGACCCGGATAGGCTGAGGGACTGGAATAGAGAGATATGATATGAGGCGGATACGTACCGAGCGCCAGATGATCGCGAGCCACGCTGCCCTTATTCTCCAGCTCAATGCTCTGAAAGCTGGACAGCAAGATCGTGTACCAAGGTTCCTTCCTCTGCGCTTCTCTTTCCCTTTCCTCCCGCGCGACCACGGCGTCGTAGTCTTCCTCCTCTTCCTCCTCGGCCTGCGCCGGTAGGGAGTTCCTCGTCGACTGGACCGACTTGCGCGGCCGCATGCCAGCCAGCTCCGGGGCCGTCGCCGTAGTGGTGACGGCGGATGGCGGTAGCGGTGCCGAGTTCATGCTCTGGTAGTTGCGGTCCGGGCCGCCGGAGATGATGCCGACGTTCTCATCGTGGGAGCCGTCTGCGCGGGAGTAGTGCCGCGGGGGACTGGCGGGGGCGGAGCGGGTTGTTGAGAGTCCGCCGCCCATAGCTTGTGCGCGGCCTCGTGCGGTCTATTTTGGGGCGAAAGAGAGGGAGATGTAAGTAGGAGGAGGAGGACGTAACGATGGTGGACGGGTGAAAAGTGTCCGGACCCGGGAAGGAGGAAGCAGAACATGGGGATGGGGCAGAAAAAGGAAACGGAGAAGCGAGGCCAACGTTGAAGTAACTAGGGTTCAGAGAATGCCGTAGATTGGCGGCCAGAAGGGTCGGTGCCAAGCGATGGGCAAAATATACATGCTCGTGGACAAACACATAATGGAAACACACCAAAGAGAACACGCAGTTCCAGGTCCTCGGTTGACGGTGGGTAGGATGCAGAAGCGAGAGAAGCTAAGAACGTACCTCTAATATCTCGTTAATGCGCTCGTTGGTGCTCTGCCTCCGGGAAAGCGAGCGCGGCGACGCTGGAGAGCGTCCGTCATAGGAGGAGGAACGCCTACTTAATCCTCGCGGCGAGACGGTCGCAGAGGACTGGGATTGAGGTTGATGAGCATCGGACGACGGTGGTGGTGGGGGCAGAGGAGGAAAAGCAGTAGCCGCTGCCGCTGCCGGCATCGATGCGGCTTCATCGCGGGCGGAGGCCATCACGTCCGAGACATGGGCATTTGGCGTGCCCTCGGACGAACAGACAAAGAGGCACACAGAGGTAAAACGGGGGTTTGAAGATGGCGTCCCTCACGCCAGAACAAGGGTCTGGTGACGTGATCAAGAGGGGAGAGACGGGTTTGAAAAACGAAAAACGGCACTAAAAAGATTCTTGTCCAGCATTCGGCTCTTGGGAAAGCTCTCCTCCCCGTTGAGCTTAGGTATGGAAAAGGTTGGGGTGGGCGATCGCGCAGGGCGGCTGATGGAGGTGCGTTAGTGCCGTTTTCCTCATGCAATGCCGCCGTTCGCTAGCGCACTTTCTCGGCCGGCGGCGGAGGACGCGGTAATTGGGGGACCGACCAACCTGAGAAGCGTTGCCAGTGGAGGATTGAAAGGATGGTAGTTGAGACTTGAGAGTATGGATGGCAAGGTGGTAGAGAAAAAAGGTAGCGTAGGAATAAAGTTTGAACAAGATGAGGCTGGCAAGTGCAGCTCCTTTCCTGTAAAGAAATGAGACGAGACGAGTCGAGTTTCCGTCTTCACATGTACGGATACATGGTGGGAAAAAAGAACCCCATGACATAGGTAGCTCGGGCCCCTCTAGAGCTTTATCTGATTCTATCTATTCCTTTGGGAATGGAATCTGGGATGGAGGGGTTTATCGTCTATTGGTTGGTCGCCGACCATCCCTAGATCTGGGCCGTCTCTAGAACTCTGGGGGGAGCCGCTCGACCCCGCCGATGCCGATGGCACGGGGTCCTACCCGTCGCCAATCAGACCGGCTGTCGGTGCGGCTGTACGGAACACCTTCGGCCCACGGCGGACGTTCGACAACCTCACTTGTACCTTTTCCATCGCAAAGCTGACTATGTTTGCACCTTTGTTCGTGAGAGGTTTTTATAATGACAAATTTCAAGCTAAGTACACGAGGGGTGTAATGTTTGAGTTCTTGTTGTGCATTCGCTCGCGGCCAAGACTTGGAACGATGTCACCTTTCCCATTACAAGCGGAGATGAAATGCAACCGCACCACTCTGATGTCTTTCCCGGCCAATTTCACATGCTGTGAGGTATTCTGTGGAGTAGATTGCTCTCTTGCCAACGTAAGGCTTGCTGGTGTGAGACATGTAGATAGAGTTCACGGGGAAGCAGAGATTCAATCTCGTCGCGAAAGTCGAAAGAAGGTACCTGGCGAAGCCGATCCTTGGCATGAGGAGAAAAGCAGCCCAGGTAATGAAATGATTCATTGTCATATACCTGAGTCCAACAGTAGTATGGCTCTAAAGTCATATGAGATGGCAATACAAAAGACCGCCTCCGCGGTGCCTCTCGCCAATCGGATCTCCACGGTCATGGTGTCAATCAGGGCCGAGGCCGCCTTGAATAGGATTATGTCTGTACGAGACTGCAGACTTGCTCGGGATGTTCGCACAGAGTGATAAAGTACCTTCAAGAGGGAAAGAACGTCACCCTACCGTTGACTGCCTCTGCCGCCTTAGTATTCAATTAGTGATAAATGCGAGAAGGACGATATATGGAGATGTAGGTTCTTGGTTGGTGCTGAGCGTCGATATTGAGAACGAGGATACCCTCTGGTTAGGAAAACTCAAGGCTACTCGGACAGGGTAATCGCCAGAGACGGTGTCATGGCGGCTTATTATGAAAAAGGCGGATAGCAACAACCTACACCTTAACCATTGCTCTCGATCGCGCTCGCCTAGGCCCATAGACTCTAGATTGATGCCATCGGGAACGCGGTAGATTTCCATATAAAAAGACGAAGCTAATCCCACAGGCTCTGATGTTTCATTCGTAGTTTAACTCCACCAGAGAGTCCCATGGAAGGCGTCATCACGATGGCATCGAGCACAAGGTCCGGGACTATGTTGTCCTCCGGGGCTCATAGATGAAATACGCGGAACGCGAAATGAAAAGGGACTGAAGAAATTATTATTCGAGAAGCAGTTCTCCTTACTCGACCACGTCCTTGTAGTATTCTCCCTCGTATACTGTTCAAATCTCCAGAAATGTCTGGAAGCAGCTCGAGGAGAAGAAAAGCAACCTTGACACTAATGTACCTGTCCGGGCCGTGCAATTGATCGACTAGAACCGGGTTTAGGTATGCGTCGGTGGATGTTAATCTTTGGGATCTAGTAATGATGAACAACTTCAAAGCCATGCTTGGAGACGCGATACGGAAATGGAAGCATCTGACGCATTTGTACATGCAGTACGGAGTAGTTGTCCGGGACACTTGATTAGAGGACCCAACTATACCGTACTTACCCTCTTCTCTCCATTTGCTTCTTCTCGCACCAACAATCTGCGAGGCGAGCGATGACGCGTTTACACTTTCAACCCAGAAGATGAAAAATACCAAGACTTGCCGTAAAGGGTAGTTCGTGATATTTAACTCCCAGTGTCCTTGCATCTTTCTTTGCTAGATAGATTTGCTATCGGCGGTTGAGACTGAGTCAGGTCAAGCCAGGAACACCGACGCCTCTGTATACGGGGCCTCAGTCTGAGGCTTCAATCCGGATAGTGACCGAGAAAACTTGCAGAGTATAAAGAGGCAAACAAGTCCAATGGCCAAACTCGACGTGGCTGGCGTGCCCATCCTACCGGACGTCAAGTAATGGCATCATGTCTATGCGAAGCTCCTAGACTGGCGTGACGCGATCAACAACGACTCTGAGAGCCGGAAGCAGAGTTTTGAAAGACAGAAAAGTCCTTACATGTCCATGGACGTAGGGTAAGTAGCAAGCCCTGGAGCGTGGAATAGGGGCCAACACGCCCTTCAACATCTACCTTTCCCCCACGGGGAAGAGTATCCCATGAAACGACAATCACAGAAACATACGACTCTAGAGGCATGTCATTTTGCCAAATTTCACTTTTTTGTTTGACTTTTCCTCGCCTCTACTTCCACAGCCCAACAGCGAGGACCTCCTCCCCGCCAGCTCCCCGAATCGACCTGGCCTTGACATACGCCGTCATCCTATCCTGCCCTTCTCCAACAGACCCAGCCGGAGCCGCAGCAGCAACCGCACACTTGGGTACGTTGAGGTACATCAAATAAGGCTGATCTCCCGCAATCCTCTCCTGGCCCTCGGCTTCCCCGCCAACGGACTCCCGATACGCCCTCCTCATCCAACCCTCAACCTCCTCAAAAGACGTCGGCGCACGCGTCGCGGGGCCAGAGACAGCGAGCCAGGAGATGGTAGAGTGCACCAGCGCCCCCGAGACCAGAACATGGCAAACCCGTCTATAAAAAGGAGCATCAACCGAAGGCGCCAGGTCCTCGGACCGGTACTCGACAGATGACGCCGGCACCTTTGCAAGACCGAGGTGAGCATGCCACTCGACCCCAGCCTGGCGTGGCAACTCCTCGACCTCAACGGAGAAGAAGGGCGGAACGGGGCCCTCGGCCTCTCCGTCGTCTCCGTCTCCGTCGAGGTCGGCCGCCACGACGGACGACCAATCCGGAAGCTTTTGCGGCGCCGCAGCGTCCTCGCCGAGAGACATGTACGCCGGGTTGAACTTGCGATCCCACAAGTCGGGCCCGCTTGCGTCGTTGTCTCCGTCCTCGTCTTCGTCGCGCTTGTGGACGGCCTGCCACGCGGCCGCGGCGAGTCGGCTTTGCCGTCTCGCATCTGCCTCCTCTGGCGTGCGCGGGAAGTATGCCACCGCGCTGGTCCAGAGCTGCACCTTCATCTCGGTGGCGATGCGCCAGAGGTGTTGTAGAGACAGTGTAATTTGCATCTCCAGGTTGCCCTCCTTCTCCGTGGGCAAGATCATGCTCGCCGGGACGAGCGGGATCTGGCCTGCGATTGTCACTCCTCTGATACCGGCGTGTACCGTATCTTGACCGCCGCCCCTCAAGGGTACATCGATGGCCTGGCTATAGGGGCCAATGTTGGCAGGCGCCCAGTACGATCTTGACTGCACGTGGAGTCCATTCCGTTCGCGAGGCTCCAAGGCAGATTTTATCGTCAGGTGAATGTTGATGGCACTTCCGGCCTGTAGTTCGCCACAAGAAATGGTTACTCTGGACGGAGGATTCGGGTGCTGGAACAGTTTACTGTAGATCTTGTTGATGGCTGGGAAATCCGACATGGACTGCAAGACGATAATGGTATTGGTGATGGCCGTAGTGGGTAGCGGCGGAGAGTGGCCAGCAAGGCGATCCTGGATCTGCTGAACTATGTCCTCGGTCTGCTGCTCGACAGACGAGCCCTGGCCCGATCCCGCTTGAGCAGCAAAGGACCAGTGGATATCGTCCGAAGGAGATCTCGGCAGCACCGGTGTTTTGCCATCACAATTCGTGAAGTCATCGACCGATGACGATGACTCCGATACTGACACCTGGTCACCCCGAGCCGTGGGCAGTGACTCCAGGATAGACTGAAACCGGGAGTCCAAGGCATCAGGTACCCGGGGCGGGGAGCAGCTTTCTCCCGTGCCCGCGTCAGGGGCTCGCTTTTCTCGGACATTCGCCCCCTGAAAGCTCAACCACGACGTCCCGCCGCCCTCCCTTACGGTCCGCCTGCCGGACTCCGGCACCTCGATGGCCCTTTTGAACAAGCCAGGCGGGCCGTCCAACACGAGCGTCTCGAACTCGCCCCCCTCGCCAATAACGGCACCCTCGGCGGCGCCAAATCGTCTGAGAGCACGCTTCACGCGCGACGCGCCCGCGATGCTGCTCACCTTCTCCCACAAGAAGTCGTCATCAAGCCCCGCGCTCGCGACCTTGATGATCCTCGCGTCGAGGCCGGCGGCCGCCATGTCGTGGAGCAGCTGGGCGTCCTCGACGGCGCCCGGAACCACCGGGGGCAGCACGGGATACTTCCACAGGTACGCCAGCGGCGTGAGGCCCAGGCGTAGCGCGACGGATTCCACACGCGTCCGCTGGTACGTGGACAGGATGGCTCCCGCACAGAGAGCGTTGGCCTCTGGGTGGTTCGCCATGACGGTGCGGAGGAGGGGCACCATGCTTTCCGTCTCATCCGCGTCGACTTCTGGGCCCGCGTCGCCGTCGCCGTCACCGTCACCATCACCCGACGGCACGGCGTGAGAGTCGTAGTCTCTACCCTCATACTTGGCGCCGCCGTAGATGGGCTGGCGGTAGAGCGGTAAGCCGGTGGCGTCCGCGTAAAGGGGTATGACCTGGTGGCCGACGGTCTGGTACATGAAACTATTCAAGTCAGCCTCATCGTCGGCCCCTTTACCAGCCTCCTCCACCGTCTCCTCAGGCTTCCTTTCCTCCCCCGTAGACTGATCTGATAGCTGAACATCCTTTACGTGATCCCTCGTGGGCTTGTAAATGACGGTTGCTGGGGCCGAGCGCGTGGCGTCGGAGCCGGCGCTGACGGAGGCGGAGGGGAAGAGATTAGCGAGTGCCACGAGCCGGTGCCCGTTCCTCTGGCAGTGCAAGGCGGAGAAGAAACTGTCCTTACCGCCCGAGACCAGGGCGATGACATTGAGCTGTTCGGATGACATGGTAGGCAGACTTCAGCCTGGCGTCCAACGTTATGCAGGCGGACGGTAGGACTGGGGACTGGGGGGGGGGGGGCTCGGGCGAGTACGTCTGTCCGTGTGTCTCTACGGATATGTATGTGTGCGCCTTGTGCCCGTGATCCGTGCTGTGCAGCGTGTAATTCTTTGTGCAGGCCCTCGCGATGGCGTATGCGGCCGGGCGTAAAGCGTGGGAAGCCTTTGTGCACAGAGTCAATGGTCCGAAATTGACGGGCCCGGTCTGGGTCTTGCGTACCACGGAGGTATGGCGGGATGGGGACTGACAGATTCGTCTAGACCTCAAGGGGACCCTTGAATGACTAGGAGCTCCGTCTTCGGGACGTCGCGGCGTCGCGAGGCCGGGACTGCGGATAGAGGGCGATGAGTGATGAAGTGGTTTGACTCTTTGAGGTGATACAAGACGGAGTCTGTGAGGAACCCGGTACGACGTTTGGATTCCTGACCGTGGAGGGGAGGGAGGGGAACGTTCTCAGAAGAAAAAAGAAGAAAAAAAACGGGCCCACTGGCTGTAGGTTCAAAATGGAGCCCAATACGGAAATCAAGAGAAAACGGTTCAACTGGCGATGAAAAGGTCAAGCATAATCTAAGGTACCTACATCATTCACAACTTCACAGCAATTACACCTTCTCCGCCGGTAGAACGCCCCCATCTACGTGAGGAATAGAAGTCGCAATTCCTTCCATTGCATGGGTTCATGGTGTGGGTAGTGGTCAACCGTCAAGACGCTCCTAAGCTCTTATCGAATCATTCCCTGGTACGGTATCCGTTCTTCGTACGCAAGCAAGACAAGGTGAAGTGAGGTGAAGTACCCACCAAAACAGCACGGCAGCTGGATGCAATAGAAGCAATAGAGACCTTGCGCTCCAGTCGTTCCGTGCAGCGATTTCCTTCCATCGAGATCCGACTGGCCGGCCTCAACTCCTTCTTTGCCCATCAGTGGATGCTATCCCGGGGGCCCCTGGGGGGAAAGAGGAGGGGGGAACATACGGTACAGTACCACATTACAAACACGACTGTGGCATGATAGAATGCCGTTACGACGACGACGACTGGAGAACATCCATTCTCATACCTACGGATACTCCTTCGCTAGTCCTGGGCTGTCTGTCTGGGTTACGTTCGGCTCATGGGCGGGGGTTGGCGGAAAAAAAGGTGGTAATTTGATATTTGTTAGTCGGGGGCCCCGGTCAGTTCCGCGCTGCTGGAGACTCGGGACTGGTGGACAACAGGTGGGGTTCTTTTCGGGGGGCCTTGAAGGAAATTCCAAAACCTGGTCCGTATCCCGGGGGCCCGGCCGTCTCGAACGCCTCGGTTCCCAGGATGAGGGAATCCCTTCAGCTTGTCAAACTCCGTCGGTCCCTGGGATTCCTTGAAGCCTTGAAGCCTTGAAGGGGGTCCTTGGGGTCGCGGGCGGCGACGGGCCTGTAGATTAGCGGGACTGCCGTTGTATGCCTGTGCCTGAGGAATTTCCTTCAACCTCTTTTCTGAGTTCCTCTCCTCCCAGTGCTCCCACTCCGTCTCCAGTCTCCCGAGGTCCCCCCCTCCACCTCGAGTCGAGTCGAGTTCCCCTCTGAAAAGATAACCCTCGTTCGGGCGGGCCGCCCCAAGATTGCGCTGGAGTTGTTGCTGGAGTTCGCTTCATGCCTCATGGGCTGATGCGCGGCTTGCCCCCCTCCAAGGCCCCTCCAGTCAACCTTACACCGCCGGCCCCTCGTCCATGACTTCCATGTGGAATTCTAGAAAAGCTCGACTCGCGAGCGACTCGCTTAAGACGAAGTGAGAGCCTGAGAGGGCAAGCGGGAGGGGAGGGAAAAGAGGCAATGGATGGCTTGCGGGTTCCAATGGAACATGTACATCGAAACTGGGGCGCCGGCACAAGGACGTTGAATACCCGGGATGCCCGCCTCACCCTAGGGCAGCGTGATTACATGACTATCAAGTTGCGCCAAAGAGTCCAGCCCACGGATGATGTTGATGGGCCGCTATCATTTCGTGAGGTATCATCCACCCGGAAAACTGTCAAAGACGAGTTAGGACTTCATTGTGAAGTCACCTGTCCACCGTCTAATTCCACCGTGATCATCGCCGTCATGTCCTTCAAGTGTCCATCCTCAAGCCCGCTACTCACTATCACATCAGCAAGGAGCTATCCGAATTCCATAGTAATAGTACACGAGCCCGGTTCAAGCACCATCCCCCATCAAGCTAAACCTACCCATTAAACTCTCGTGGCAAGAAAGAAAGAAAAAAAGGTCCGAGACGCGACGACTATCCGTTAGACCCTGTTGATGAAGCCTAGTCCAAAAGGCCCAGTCCATCAAATCTCAATGTACAAGCCTGATCAAATCCACCGCCCCCGCCGTCCATAAGGAAAATCTGGCAGAGCTTGGAGCCTTGACCAGAAGAAAATGGATATCGAGGTATCAGAATTTTCACTCATTATCGCCAGGCCGGCCAGAGTCGAAGATGAGGAATGAGGTGAGGAGACAAGCTATCTGGGATTTGCTCGAAGCTCAGACCATCCTCATGAAGCGGTGAGAGAGAGAGAGAGAGAGAGAGAGAGAACAAGTCACCAGTCTACAACTCTCGTCACATCTCGTTCTAAACTAAACTGTCGCTTTGCCGTCCTTTTTTAATTTACTGTTCCATCGCGCGCGGGGGGGGGAACCAGTAAGATGAACAGGAGCCAATAGTCACCACCAACACGGATTTGCTATTTCACACATCCGTGCCTCTCCCCCATCATCCATGTAACATACGCTATATGACTGACTACGTACGAGGTACAACTTGCTCGAACTGCTCCGTGCGAGAAGCCAAGCATTAGCAAGGAAGTCAAGAGATCCAACGTGCCAATATCGAATTAATCGAATTCAAAAAAGGGCCAGGCCTGAACTTCCTGAAGGATGCAGCGCGCGTGGTACGAAAGGAACGGAGCTAGTGGGTGGCTTGGCTACGGTAAAAGCGCAAGATTGACTTTCTGCTTTCCCGCGTCGTTAGTCAGGTACACGAGCCACGTTGCATGGCCCCCAAAAAGACGACCCCTTCGATACGGATATTAATACTGGAAAGTTAACTGAACCAACGGTGAACGTTACGCTTCCAACGAGCCGGGCACCGACCGGGCAGGCAAGCCATCAAGCAGGTACGGAGTAAGTATCCGTAGATTGTTATCCGTAGATAGGCAGACCTAGCCGGGAAAGCTTGTGGTAGAAGTTGTATTGTGTAACGGACGGTGGTAGTCAAGGGTTTGACTCGATGTTGGCAATATCCGCATCGAAGCAACCCAAATGAAAAAGCTCAATATCCCACTCCCGCCGCCTTGGCCCCCAATATCCCAGGCTTTTCTCGTATCGGTGTAGCAGCGTCTTTGGCAGCTCGCTACTCTTCCGTAGACAACCATGCAATGCATCAGTGCTGACAGAACAGGCTGACGTACGTCCTCCTACGACTCGCGCCTCTGTTAATTGATTACACTTACAGAACCGTCGAGAGCTTTTCTTGGGTTGTTTGCCATTTTAGTACCCCGTGCCGTATCATCGAGCCAGAATAGAGGGGAAGCCTCGACTCCTCCCCGTCGGATACAATTGCCTTGTTTTCTAAAAAAGATCAACCCACCTTAACTTACCATCCGATACCACATCACATCACCCCGCCATGCAAAGAAGAAAGCAAAAGTGAATGTGACAGAAATACGAATTAGAGTCAACTTCGTAATCCGAAATACATTGACCGTCAATGGCATGATTGCGGTGAGGTAGGTATAGTTAGGCTTCCGCTTTTGCTACATACCTTTACCTTGTACATCTGTGTTGTGTCACCAGTAATGTGACATCCTCATCATCAGGCAAACGCATCCGGTCCCCCCCCCCCCCCCCAATCCGTGGTTCTCTCTCTCCCTCTCAGAATCAGGTTAGTAATGGCAATGTATCGGGGTTTCCCCGAATTCTTCAGAGTCCTGACTAGGCAAACGACATCCAGACGGGCTTACCGAACCCGCCGGGGAACCGTCCATGTCAAATGTCACCCTGAGAAAAGGATGGACAAGACAAGAGTCTTGGCTCTTGAGAGGTGTAAAAATGGGGAAAAATGAGACCGCTACAGCCGGACCTCAGTCCGCGACCGAGAAAGAGAATGGAGCCCAAAGACGCGAACCAACTCACCACAAAACTGCTCTTCTGCTTTGCCCCTCAATTCCTGAGGTACTGTAGTCCGCGGCAGGCTGACAGTGTGATGACTCAAGCCCACGCCTTTAGTCAGTCACTCTCTCACTCACTCACTCAATCACACAAAAGCAAGTGGTGCCGCGATCCTTCTTATGGGTAGTCAGGCGTACTTGGCAGGCTCCCAAGTAAAAAAATAGTGAGACCAACACCCGTGACCTGACAAAGAAGGAAAGAAAAGAAAACGTCACTTCAAAAGCCGTCCGCCGTTGAAGGGGCTTCCACGGGGCGGCACACTGGATCGTTTCGGGTACTGCCAGGTGGACTTTTTTCTCCCTCGATCGGTTAAGGCTGCGGCACTAACGCAGGCCCAGGTGTGTAAGTCGGGTTTTGTTAGCTACACCTCAGCCTGCAGCTCGCGAGACAAGACAAAATACCTAAGAAAAGACTAGACAAAAGGAAAGAACACGGAAAGAATGGGATCGGGGAAGACTTGTCAAGAAAAAGAAACAACGAAAACATCCGATTGGACTCCCCGATGGAGAAACAATGCATGACGGCATCCGGGCTGGAACCCGGTTCATGTCTTGAAAAGTTGAACCCATGTCTGGGAATGTTGCCGTCAAGCCCCCATCGATCGATCAACTAAGAACATTGCTCAGCCCGAGTCAGATCATACACGACAGCGAAGGCAAGCACTTAGGGAGAGAATTAGATAGACGGTCACAAGAATTTTTGGTAAGGATGAAAAGTTTTTGGCAGCGCGTAAAAGTGTTCTCTTTTTTTTTTGTGGTGTTCAGAAATGTGTTTGTGTGTACAGGTTTACAAAGTTGTTTTTTTGCGGCGAAAAGAAAAAGTTCCATCTTCTGTTTGTCCGATGATGAGGTGACCTGCACTCCAAACACCCCCCCCCCCCCCTCCTCCGCCTCTCTCTCACACTGGTTTGGATCCGCGACCAACAAGATAAGAGCTCAAACAAGAAGAATCCCAACTCGATGGTGAAAAAATAAACACATGAAGGCGACGAATCCGAAGACAGGAAACCTCCCAGGAGAGGTGCCCGAGCGTCTGGTTGCCGCGCACAAGAAGAAATGTTCCCATGTTTCCAAATGCGATGCTGGCTGCCGGCCTCCGAACATGCTGGAGAGATTACAACGAGCGTAGAGAAAAGTACGCTTTGGCCGCTGCCAAAAATTGGATGTTGAGTCTCGGGCTGTGTCTCTGTGTCTTCCCTTTGCTCTGTCTCCGAAAAAAAAACCAAACGAATAAACAATCAT